ATGTAGTGGAGTAAAAACTACAATATTTTGCAGAAAATAGTACTTGAGTTAATGTACTTAGTAACTTTCCACAACTGTTCATAATGAATCATGAAATATGTCATACTACACACAAAAATAGGATTTAGATCAAAGTTGCTACAAAATAGCACAATGCATCAGATAGATAGATACTTTATTTATCCCGAGGGAAATTCAAGCATCCAGTAGCATACAAAATACAAAACATACATTAAACTAAAATTACACTACAAAATCACACGTTAACACTGGAGTTTATTCACACAAATACTGATGCAGTAGCTTGAATAAGGCTTTCCTCAAAGAAAACAGTTTCACTGGCTTTGCAAGATGTCAACAGAAACCTGGAGAATGTTGCATATATTGTTAGTCACATACGGTAATATATTAAAAGTTGCTGATATACTTCTGCACAGAATCATAAGGTTGGTGGAAAATCACAGAAAAAGTGATATTTAAGTGATGGATTCATTACAGAAAATGAGTATCATACCTTTCTGTGACCATCTGTTTAGACAGCTAATAGTAACATATAGCAGTTATAACTTTGTCTTTCAGGAAGAGACAGAAAGTTCCTGCAGCAGTGACTGCATAATTGAAAACACAAATGACTGCTCGGCTTGTTGGATTTAATGCGACCTGAGGATTAGATAGTGAGGCCTTTGGACATTAACCAGAGAATGAGTACACTCTCAAATCGACCTCCGCCTCTCATTCCTCATGGGATGTTTTTTTTCCAGTAAAAAAATGTAAAAGGTCACCACATTTTTTCCTTAATGCTGCATAACCGTAAGAGATGGGCTTTCCCTTGTCCAGCTGATGAAGTGGGCTCTGAATCCTTAAAGCCCTTTGAAGGGCTGTGCAGTGGTTTAGCTATGCAGCTGTGCTGGGAAACCTGTCTAGGTTTACCTACAGTCAGTCTGCAGCAGACGGCTGAAGGTCACACAGAAACTGGCTTCATCCTTCAGAAGCAACAGCTCTACAAATGAACTCCCAGTAAATGACATCAACACCAGGCTGAATTATTCAAGTATGGTATGAATAGTGTTATCATGGTAGAAGAAATTTGGTCACATTGGTCTACACCAGTAGAATAGAATATTAGAAAATGACTGAGTGCAATCATAGCATCCTTTATGTTTGAAAGTTGAAAACTTTTCTGTAAAGTGAGACTCATTTCCAGTGATTCTTTCAAATATTACAGAGCAGACTAACCTGACTGCACCAGATGGTTTGTTACATAGAACCATCTTGGAAGTTATCATTGGAAACAGAATGGAAAAGGGCAGGCACTTTCAAAAAAAGAATTTACTAGGTGATTGGATGAATCAGACCAATAATAATGTAGTCAACTCTTACCAATGCTCTTCTAAATACTCTCCACTTCTGATATAACTGGTGCTAGCAGCATGCTAACCTCTTTAACAGCCACCATTACTGTTTAACGAACAGTGTCTTCTCGCTGCATCACACCTTGCGTCCGCCCCCGTAGCTGCCAGTACTTCCTCAAAGGACACTGTAGTTTGGCCACAAATGTATAGATTGAAGCATGACTAGATGGATACTTGCGTAACTTCATAATCTGATTTAAACCAGGCTCAGATTATCAGATTGAGTTCTCTCAATTTTAGTAATCACTGGTAACTTCTGAAAATCTAATCTGTGCTTGATTGTTTAATTCTGTCAAGTCTATGACTTCACCCAGGACATCGGGTTTGTCTAATTATCAGATTCATTTAATTTAATTCAATTCAGATTATTATGAATCATGAAACCGAAGCCTAATTATTAGACTAGAATAACCAATGCAGATATAATGATAGAAAAATAAAAGTGTGACAATGAAAATATATGACAAAGAGCAATATGAAGTTGTGTTCTGCTTGATAAGAAAAACAAATCATCCTTAGAGGACCGTGAATGTCTGTAGAAACAATGACCTAGCTGCTGAGATATTTCAGTCTGGAAGTGGTGAAGCAACCAAGAGTCATGCTGCTAGCTCAAATAAGTTTCAATGACAGGCAACCAAATCATTGCTTGTCTCTTCAGAAACCACACTCAAAGTGAGATGGCATTAAAACTATTTTTACATCTCACAACTACTTTATTAGACCAAAATTCAAATAAAACAATCTAGCCAATTAACAGGGATCTAACATTTTTACAGAAACTGTATTGTACCAATAACTGAGTACTCCGTATAGGAGCAAAAGCACACAAGTTCAGACTGAATTGTTTTACAAAGCGAACCAGACACCTCTGGTGTCAGATAAACCAAAGCAAGAACTTGTTGAATGAAGAGAGGGAGGACAAAACAAAGCAGTGAATCTGAGAAATCAGGTGTTTTTTTCTAATTGCTTCACTGTGGTTACGTTCTAAAGCACAAATAAACACCAACCCATGGGCAGGGGTGCTGAGGGGACTGTAGCACCACCAAAAACTTGGCATAATGAAAACCTTTACTCCATAAAAATGTTTAATCTTATGACTTTCTCCTTGTTTACTGGAATGTACTTGTGTACACCAGAATTTATGGCAGGAAAGAAGTTTTGCCTTGTATTTTATCAGTTTTATCTGCTAAAAAGTTATAAAATCTATGTAACTATTAAATAGAAAATAAATTATCATGGTCATTTAAATGAAGGAATAAAACTATGAATGTCATGCATTTAGCGTTAAGTATGACGTCGGTATATAGACAGACTTTCTCTTAGCACCCCCAACTCTGACTGACTTCCAGCGTCTGTGCCTCCTCACAACCCTGCAGGAAGGATTGCTGGATTTTGTGTGTGTGTGTGTGTGTGTGTGTGTGTCTGTCTCTCAACCTTTGGCTTGGTCAAACAAACACACAAACCTGTAGCTCTTCATACATTCATGACACAGACTGAGAGCAGAGACAGAGACAGCACTGTAACCTAGTCGCTACGTTTTTATGGTCCCAGCCTAACACTGCACACACTGCCCAAAGGTTGACGCCCAGAAACGCCCAGAATACAGTGAAATAATAAGAAAATACAGGCAGAGGGCTGCAGGGTCTCTGTACATACAGGCACTGCCACACACTTACATAGAGGGTTATAAATGTTGGCTTGTGATGCTTCAAACAAAGCAATGTTTATTTGCAACCCTTCACCATAGGCTAGATTTACCTTTGAGTTGTATACAGTTCAATCAAAGAGTGATTGTTTTTGTTATTGTTTGTTTCATTTGAATACTTTTAGAGTTCAAAACAAGAAAAAATTAATTTTGAAAAAAATATTGTGCGTTAAAAATCTTACTCTTCTCTATCCTGTTAATAATCTTGGAGCGTTTTTCATTTTTGTAATCTCTTGGGGGGTCCTAAAGCACAGGTTTAGATAAATGACAACCTGTTTAAAAACTTTCTGATCTATGGTCTGGTTGTCCTGTACGTTCCATTGTACAGCTGTGAAAACAACCAGGAAGGGAGAAGGTGATGCAGGGTATCTCTAAAGATTGTCTTTAGTCTGTGTGCTGTTCTATGTGGAACTGAAAGGTCAAATGTCAAGGTGAAAAAAAAAAAAGTGAAAACGTGATAGAGGGATGAGAAGTATGAAGTGACAGTGTTGATCTGCAGGGTGCTGAGTTTGATGCGAGTAGAAAGCCTGTGAGAGTGAGGGCTTGAAATGGACATTTCACAGCCATGTCAAAATGTTAAGTGTTACGTGTATCATTTTAAACATTACATGATAAATTGACTGTCAGTTTAAACTGCAGTCAGTCAGTTTTAGTTTTGTTTGATGATGTTTTCATCCACGTCTGACAAACTTGTGCATGTGGGATGTGTTTTTGAGGAGTTTAAAAGTATTTGGACAGAAATATTCATTTAAAAACACAACATCAAGAGTCTTAACAAACAGACTTTTAACAGATTGGAACCTAAAAGCACTGAAAAAATCTTGATAATTAATGAGATGCACTTCCTGTTGCACACAGTAGATTAAAACCATTAGATAAAAACTCAACATCTGCCAACTAAAATGTGAGCCTATTAAAAATGAGAGAATGTGTGTGCATGTGTTTATTCAATATATTCAAAAACTATGTGGTAAAAGTGGGAACTAGCTTGCAACCAACTGATCACCACTTGCATCTTTATCTGTCAACCTGGGAATGAGAACAGGCTGTGAAGTGTGTAGGAAAAACTATGGTGGCCATGAAACTCCCAAAAAAATACATAAGTCCCTATTTACAGCCAGTGTTTGGTCTGTCTGTTCTGGGTTACTGTAGAAACATGGCGGTTCAACATGGTGGACTCCACCAGAAGAAGACACGTTCCCTCTGTTGATAAAAACGGCCCATTCTAAGA